TACCTATGACAGCTCAAATTGTGCAGTTCGGGGCATCTGTCGGACGTGGGCCGTCAAGCTGACGTTTGCGCTTCGGGCTTAGGGTTTAGGGTTTAGGGTTTTAGGGTTTAGGGTTTAGGGGTTTCGGCTTTAGGGGTTCAGGGTTTGGGTCCCTTGCTCGGTCCCCAAAAGAGCACGGCACCCGTATAAAAAGGACCCTAATTTAGAGAACTACCCACGTGGTTCACGGTTGAGCAGCCGGAAGACATTTGAGTTTCTTGGCGACTTTGGTTTTGGGGTTTTGGAGGGGTGAGTCTTGGAGGTTAAGGGTTTAGGGTTCAGGGGTCCGAGACCCATATAGTGGTGCCCAGGCACGCGAGCGCGCAGATAAAGCCACAGAATCCATCTGAAAGTGCAGTAAGAACGCCTACATAATTTTAAGATCATGAGCACAATGCCACAGCTAAGGTGCATTGGTTACCGTTTTAGAGGGTTCCACCCTATAATTATAGGGTCATGACCTACTACTTGTGTTTTGTAGGGTTTGGGGTCGCAGGTAATCCCTCTAGGGTCTAGAGGGATGTTTGTTCATTATCTGGCGAAGTTCGGACCCCCTAAACCCTAAACCCTAAACCGTCATACATCCCGCAGCCCTAAACCCCCTGCCCTCAGACCATAAGCCTCTGAGCCCTAGGGTAGGGGTTAGGGTTTAGGGTTTAGGGGAACCCTAAATCCTAAACCCCTAAACCCCTGAACCCTCAAGCCCTAAATTAAAACCCCAACAGAGGAACACCCAAACCGAAAAGACTCCCCAAATCTACCAAGTATCTACGACAACAAGGTTAAGCCCGAAATCCTAGAATTGTGGACGTGACCAGAACCCTCTCAACCCTCAGGTTTGGGAGTTTAGGGTTTGGGGTAGGGTTTAAACCCTGAACCTGGAAACCCCCAACCCCTTTACACCTTCTGGTTCTTTTTCTAAACCCTAAACCCTAAAACCTTAAACCCTAAAACCCTAAAACCCTAAAACCCTAAACCCTAAACCCTAAAACCCTAAACCCTAAACCTTAAAACCCTAAAACCTTTTCCTCAAGAGGCCTTCATGTTCGCGTGGCTGCAGATGAGGGCAAAGTGGAATGGCGAGCCCCAGGTGCCAATTTGTAGTGGGTTTAAACCCTAAACCCTAACCCTAAAACCCTAAACCCTAACCCCAAACCCTAAAGCCCTAAAGGATAGCCATGGGCTTCTTCACAAGGGTCTTATACTTTTTTGTTGGGCTTGTTTACGACAAGGGTTTCATATTCAAGTTTCTGTACCTTGTTTAGGGTACGTGCGAGAATAATCTTTGTTGCCCCGGCCGAAACCGGCGGTGCCTTGTTGCCCTAAGCCCTAAAATCTAAGCCCTCAACCCTGAACCCTCTGGGCCCTTCGGCTTCTGAAGCTCACGTGCTGCTCCCAGAGACGCCGCATGACAGAGATTTGGGGTTTAGGGTTTAGGGAGTTCAATGCTTACGATTTAGGGTAGTAGCTGGTTTAGGGTTTAGGGTTTAGGGTTTAGGGTTGGTAGTAGTGAAGTGGTGTTGCCCAGCTTCTGGGTAGGCTTTCTGGTCTTGGGCTGGGCTTAGGAGTTGCGATCATCTTTTAAGATGGGGATCTTGAGGATTAAGAGGTTTTGGGGTTTAGGGTCCCTCGGGACGATTTCTGTACAGGCTCTAGAGCGGTTCTGAGATTTCGGGGTTCAGGGCTCTAGGATTCTTCCCTGTAGAGTTTAGAGTTTAGGGTGAATGTACGGCTTAGGGAGCATCTCTATACCTTAAAGCGTCTTAAAAAAACCGTAATTCCTTCTCCCTAAGTGTCGCTATATACACCCGGCATGATTTTTGGTGGTTCATATCTTGCTGCCAAAACTTTTCTGTGAGAGGTGATCGCAACTTCTGGCTGATGATGTAGGCTTTACGGGTTTACCTGTGGCCCGAAGGTAACCCTAAACCCTAAACCGTACCCCAAGCACTATAACATAGTAGGGTTTTGACCGCTTAGATGGTAGAACCCTCAAAGCGGTGGGGTTTAGGGCTTAAGGGTTTGGGCTTTAGGGTTTAGGGCTTTTAAGGTTTGGGGTTTAGGGTTTTCATGTTTTAGGGTTTGGGGTTTGGGGTTTACGGTTTCGCAAGGGTCCAGCCAAGGTTTTGTTCGTACATGCTAAATGCGCTTTCGCTGTGTTTCGTAAGTGGTTAGTATAGGGGAATCGGGTAGGGTTTTTGGTTTTTGGCGAGTGTGTAATGTATGTGTGTGTGTGTCAGTCGGGAAAGTACTTGGAGGTTCATGGGTCGTACTAGGCACAGTTATGAGTATTCTAACTGGGGATATAAGTTTTAAACAACAGATAGCCGATTTTCAGCCTAGTTACTAACTCCCATGAACTTTTCAGTAACAGTATGTAGCAATAAGAGCACCACTTGATATTGCATTCTAGATGGGCAGGTAACTGTTACACCCAAATCCCTCTATTCCAAAATACCCCCACAAAGCCCAACTGTGATCTGGAGTACCATACTTGTTTTTTTTTGGACTTGTTCCTTAAAGGAACCATTAAACCTAGACCCTAAACCCTAAATGAAATACAGTTCCATACCTTTTTTCAAAGTCCGTGAAATCACATGAGAGAATCCTGCTGTGTCTCCAAACCCGAGGGTCTCGAATCCCAAGCTTATCGTATCCTACGGCCAACCTACTTCTTTGGAGGGACCTTGTAGACTATGTTTATAGAAGGCCCCTAAACCCTAAACCGGATTCTATGCTTGGGTTTATAGCCGGTCCCTAGAATGCCTCAGAACCAGATGTAGGTGCGAGAAGGTTCAGCACGGAAACACCGATCTCTACACCCTGAACTTCCTAAACCCATGAGCTTTGGGTTTAGGGTTTAGGCCTTTAAACCCTAAACTCTAAACCCTAAGCCCTTAAACCCATGAGCCTTTCGGAGGTGGAAGACTCCGTGTCTTCGCCGGCACTAGCCCCGGGCACTCTTCCCAGCGCCCCTCCCGCAGATGGTGCGAAGGTCGTCTGAATGACGTTGTTCTACCACACTTCCCAGAGACTCCAGTATCCCTTAATTAAGGAATATACCTTAAATCATAGTAGGATCCCTAATATGATCTAAGCTAGCTATATTCCTTAATTAAGGGGTATTGGGCTCTCTGGGTGGGTGCTAGCTAGCGGCTAGCGCTTCTTGCAGGTTCCTAGATGCGTGGGTAAGGTTTCCAATCTCTAAGGCTAGAAGTATGGGCCCCTAATATGGACCTTTAGGGGATTCTAGGGACCCTTCATGGTACATATAGGGTATATATATATATATATAGCAGGTATATAAGGATCCCAGGTTTAAGGGCCCATGCTAGGGGCCCATGGTTTCAAACTTAGACAATCCGCCCCAGGGGGTTGCCTGAACCCATCTCGTAAATGCTGACGTTCATGCATAGCTAGATATGTGAGGCTGTGTATCAACACTATGTGCAAGTCTACGAATGTAAACAAAGAAACATACACACACACATATATATATATATATGTATGTACATATATATATATAACAATATACACATAGACCCACACCAACTAATTACTTAGTTTGTTTACGTGTGTGTTCATAGCACTTATATTTACATGCAGTATGTGTACATGTATATGTGTGTATACATATGTATGTAGACACATGCGTATACACTAAAGCATATCTGCTTTGCATCCCCACTTCTGGCGGTTAGGCCTGGCGTTAGGCCTCTCTGGTGTAAGCGCCGCTTGCAGCTCGCGAAAGCGCTTATGGCACAGCTGAGGGCAGAAATAAAAAGAAGTGATCGAGTGCCGGAGGGCTCTTAGTGCTTAGGGCCTCTAGGCCTTATGGGCCTTATGGGGTTGGGGGCTATGTTGTATCATATTAACCAGGTTTTAAGTTCCGCAATTAGGCCCATTCAGTAATGCACCCGATTTATGGCCCTCGTTACTAAGTCCTCTGGTCCTTAAAACCCTCAACTCTTGCAGATACTTTGTAGAAACCTTTCAGGAGCCCTATCATTGAACCCTACCGTAATATAGGGGCCTAAATCGTGACCAGTACTATTTTGGGGGCTCCTCATTAAAATATAACGTAGCACAAAAAAAACCCAAAAAAACCTAGACCCTAAACCCTAAACCCTAAACCCTAAACCCTAATTATCAAGGCGTCTAGATTACCCTTAAAGGGAACAGCTCCGAGGCCCCAAGCCCCTACCCTAAACCCTAAACCCCTAAACCCTAAACCCTAAACCGTTCAATTTCAGGGTTTAGGGTCTAGGGTTTAGCATAGCTCGCGGTGGATCAACCCGCAGGGTCCATAGATCGGAAG